GCTGACCCAGGGTCGTCCTGACCTGTAACTGTGGCCTCTGCCTCAGTTTACACACCTGCAGGGAGGGGCCTCAGGTGGGAGCTACAGGGGCAGAGGTGAAACCAGGCTGGAAAGATGGGTTTGTGTGAGATGGAGACTGTGAGGAGAATCTTCAGAGCAGACCACAGAAATCGTAGGAGGAAATCTGAGAATCACCTGGTTCTGCCATCTCATTTTATAGACAAGAAAATTGAGTTCACGTGAGTTAATGGTGTGTCCAAGGTCAGAAAGGTAGAGAGAGGCCGGTATGAGGCTGGTATGGGGCAGAGGAAGGTCCCTAAGCTTGAGGCAGAGGATGACACGAGCAATAGAGGCTTCAGGGAGGTAGATCTGGAGTCCACAAGGATCATGGAGGAAGACAGTAAAGGTCACGGAGGCCCAGAAACCACCAGGTTAAGGGTCATGATAAGAAAGAACACAGGGGGAAGAATAAGTGACTTGGGGACTGTGTGGATAAGGGGAGGGAAGAGGAGAAAGAGTAAAATCATGACCAAACTTCTGAGTTTGGGCAGCTGGTCAAACTGGTTCCACTCTCAGGCTAGTAGGGAAGGGAAAGAGTGTACAGTGAGGGGTCAGAAGGCTGGGCAGCTGGGTGGATGGTGGGGTCACCATGAGGGATGTGAGGCTGCAGTAGCTCTTGGCTTGCCTAGGTAAGGACCCAGCCAGAGGGCCAAAAGGAGAAATCCTGCCACGGGGGAAACTGGACCCTTAGGAAGAGTGGGACCCCACCCTCAACCCTCATGCAGTGCAGTGGGCCACCATGTCTTTGGCTCCAGGGTTTGCCCCTTGCTTTCATCTCAACTGTTCCTTAAAGCCTCTGGTCTCGTATTTCCCTATAGCTGTTCCGAAGCTATTAGGAAATGTGCACAAGGACCGTCACCATCAGATGCTTGGTCCTTGGGCTCATGGACTTCACATGGACTTCACATGGACTTCTGCACATGGACTTCTGCACATGGACTTCAGTTGCACCCACATTTCTGAGAACAGCACAACAACACAGTCTCCACCCGACCTATTCCAAGGACTCCTTCCCCTGACAAACTCCAGGCAGAGCCTCCCAACTCTCTCAGGAGCCCCATCCCATTTTTTCCAGGTGTATGGTAGACCTGTCCATGCGGGTATCTCAAAAGGACCTTCAATTCAACGTGCTCCCAAAGGAATTAATTATTGGACACTGTGGGTCTTCTTTCATTCTCATTGGTTTCCTAAGACCCTTTCCCCGTGGGTATCAGTCAGAACCCAGGGCCATCCTCTTTCTCCTGCAGCCTCTAGTCATGGAGGCCTGATATTTCATCCTCCTCACCTCCATTCCCTCTACCCTATCTTGGTCCAGACCCTCTGCACTTTTGTCCTGGGCTCCTGAAAAATGGTCTCTGCCCCTTCCCATCCCTTCTTCATGCTAATTTGTTGGCCTCCTTTCTTTTCCCTCCCTGGCTTGCACCAGAGTTCCCCCCAGGGTAACAATGGGCAGCTCCATGACCCCATCCAGCATCCTGCTCCTTCTTGCCTCTGTCGTGTTTGACTCTCTCTGGCGCAGCCTGGAAGGCACAGCCTCTCCTGTCTGCCTGGCTCTATCAGCCCAGCCTCACATGAGTTAAGTGCGTCCTCTCTGTTGTCCAAGTGCTGACCTGGCAGTGGCTCACCTGTCCATCCTGTTTCATCTTCATTGTCTCAGTATCTGGTGCAGTTTCTGGCACAGGATCTGCAATAGGCAATATCTGGTCAAAGTAAGAGAAGGAGTGAAGAGAGACGGAGGGTCCCCGCGGTGCTCCGTCTCCAGGCCAGTTCCATTCAGAAGGGTCATCTTCCAGGGAGGAACAGAGCTGGCTCTGGGGTTAACCACCCTCTGGACACTAGCTGAAGGTTTGGGGAAGAGATTCTGCTACACAGAACGATAATTAGATCCAGAATGGAACCTAGGACTTCCTTAGGAGACCTTCTCATTTTAGGGTCAAGGTTCAGAGAGGAATGTCATGTGACTGGATAATGAGAAAGTCCCTGGAACACAAATCTGACCTCGAGGTCCTTGGTCTTTCCCACACAACTTTCTTGCTGCAAATGGATGATTATAAAATAAGTCCTATAAAGTAGGTCGTTTTAAAGTGGGTGTTTATTTTCTGATTATGAAATAAGTGTTTGTTATAGAAAAACATGAATTACATAAGGTCACTGTAGGAAATATGGATTAGAGAGAAAAACAAAGAGAAGAATAAAATAAGAACGATAGGGAGAGTCTTCATCAGAGAGACTTCAGTGTGGCTTTTTGGATTGCAAGGAATAGAAACCCCCTTGAGGTGGCTCAAGCCACGGACCTTGGTGATGGCTTCACAGAAAATCTTGTGGTAATCTTACAAGAGGAAGCTCTCTCGGGCTGGCTCCTAAGGAATAGTTTTGGATTCAGAGGCTATCTAAGATCCAGGAACCAAAAGCTCAAAATATCTCCTCTGGAGCCCACTGTTCATACAACTCAGTTCATTCCTGTGTCTGCTGCCACCATCCCCTGAACACTTTTCACAGGTACTAGTTTAAACACCAAGAGAAAGACTCATGCCACCCCAGCTCATTTTTTCAATAGACCTCAGATTGGTGGACATCCTTTATACCTGTCTTGTGGGCAAGAGAGTCACATTTAGACCTCTTTTCTTAAGCACTGAGGATTTTTGTATCTACACTTTTTGTATCTATACAAGGCATTTGCCCTGTCTCTTATAGAACAGCCAAAGACAATTCTGGCCTAAAAATGGTGGTAATAATAATAATGATAATAATAATAATAATGTGATTTCTGTCACCATGACTAAAAACCTGAGCTAATTAACTTAAAAAGGAAGAAAGGTTTATTTTGGCTCACTATTTCAGAGGTTTCAACCTACAGACAGTTGACTATTGTTTTGGGTCCTTTAGTGAGGCAGTACATTATAGCAGGGGGGGCACATGGTAGAGAAAAGCTGCTCACCTCGTAGCAACCAGCAAACAAAGAGAGAGAATGTTTTCCAATATCCCCTTCAAGGGTGAAACCCCAATAACCTAACTTCCTTCCATTAGGCCCCACCTCTTAAAGGTTCCACCACTTCCCAATAGTGCCACAGGCTGGTAACCAAGCCTTTAACACATGGGCCTTTAAGGGACATGGGCCTTTTAGGGACATTCAAGATACAAACTATAACAATGACTAAAATGCACAGAACATGTACTGCTCTAAATACTGGACACATGTAGCCTCTGTTTTACTTCTCACTCTACAAAGTAGACACTGTGATGATCACTGCTTCGCAGTTGAGACATCAAATACTATTAGTCATACAGCTTCTTCTCTATACTGACCAAGGTCAAAAGGAGATACACTTGTATCTCTCTCTCTCTCTCTCCCAGTCAGCCCCCATCCTGTAGAGGATCATGGGTCTCATTCTGGTTGCCGACAGTACTCCATTTAAATGCTGCATGCTGCAAAATCAACCTTCCTCCCCTTTCTCTCCCACTCATCCAAATCCTGCTCCACTCAGTGCATCTCTGGTGTTCTTTCCTCCCCTTCACCTGACCCCAGAAAAGCCTGTTTTGGCTTGTTGGTGTGTAGAGTGTGCCATTAGTGATGGGGTCTTTCCTCCAGGCAGACAATGTTCTATGCACCCAATGAAATAAAATTTCAGGGCACTAATAAGAAAGTCTTCAAAGATTTTCATAGGCTGTAGTATCTATTCTTTTCTTCAGCATCCAAGTATCATCTGGGTTTTAAGACCTTTGAGCCTACTCTCTAAGCAAGCACTCTTAATCACCTAATAATCCTGACCCCTGAAAATGGCAGTCCTCCTTATGTCAGAGGACAGAAGACCATTGTTCTAGCCTTCAGTCAAACCTCTTGGAGGCATAACTGGTCTACCCACTGTTACTTTCCCCAGAGTCAAAATTATGGACAAGATAAAATGAGATGACAAACTTCTTTTGCCTTATTTTGCAACCAGAGATGCGGTCCTCCAAATTTTCTGTATTTCCAAAGGATTCAGCAAACAAGATCTTTAAGTGGATGAAGTTTAAACAAGGGACTAGCAGGTGACACTCTAAGTATAGATACAAAAATCCTCAGGGCTTAAGAAAAGAGGTCTAAAATCTAATATTGGTTCTATTTCCTTAAGATGGAAATATTCACATGGAAGAATCAGTAACTGCCGGCACCTTTGGGGATTTTCCTCATCAGTCCCCATAATACTATTATAAAATTAACAGTAATTTGGATTATTGCTTAAACATCCTGTCATTTATATCTAATTACCATGTACTATAATAAAAATTATCATGAAGTGCATGTCAGATTCTCTTTGTTGCAGACAATCCTTCATATCCATGAATTCTGCCTTAATACTTTTATGCTTCCTTATTACTTTGTGTGTTCAGAACAGAAAATACTTAGGGGGATGAGTATTAACTCCCCCCATTTTTTGTGGTGCTGGGGATTGAACCCAGGACTTGTGCATGGAAGGCAAGCTGTCTACCTACTAGATATATATAGGGGTGCTATGTCCCCAGCTCCCATTTCTTTTCTCATTTTTCTTTCTTCTTTCTTTTTTTAGAAGGTGGGTACCTGGGATTGAACTCAGAGACATATGACCACTGACCACATCCCCAGCCCTATTTTGTTTTTTATTTAGAGACAGGGTCTCTCTGAGTTGCTTAGGGCCTTGCTTTTGCGGAGACTGGTTTGAATTTGTGATCCTTCCTGCCTCAGCCTCCTGAGCCCCTGGGATTACAGGTGTGCAGTCACCACATCCAGCTCTTTTTTCTTTTCTTAAAGCAGGTGGGAAAGGCTCAACTTCTTTCCCAACTTGGCCAAGTAAGAAAGAGGGTCTGCTCCTACACCTCAAAAAAATCTCTCCTATCTTTAGGAGTCACCTCTGGGAAGGTGACCTCTAGGCTATTCATGAGAATTGCATGAGGAGTGGAGTGGTCCCTTCCAGAGAGCCCTAATGGTTCCCGTCTTTGGGTGGGGCCCACACAGCATCCTGAGCCCAGTCGGGATCCTGGGGGAGCCCATCGTGCTTCGAGCTCACACGTGTCCAGCTGCACTTCGGCCTGGGGAGGAGCAGAGATGGCCTGGAGCCCAGCCCCGGACCTGGCTGCTGCGGGCCTGCCTCACGCCGCAGAGCATGCGCAGTCACTCCACTGGTTTGGAAGAGCTGGCCCAGGGGAAGACACCCCCACACCACACAGACCTGGAGCGGAGGCTGAGGGCTGAAAAGGTAAGAGGGCTGCGAGCAGGCACCACATTTGCAGGCCAGGGCGGACTCTCAGGCAGGGCTCTGGACTGGCCTGGAATCTCCCAGACATGGCCAGGGGGTCAGTCACCGCATGGACCCAGTGTAAAGCTGGGGTCCCTCTCAGGTGCATAGTGGTCTCCTCCCAGCCAGGTCCTAACCTCTGCTGTTGTGTAACCATCTCCCTCCCCTGGCACACCTTGAAGAGCATCTGTCACATCACACCTGGCTTCTACATGTTTCCTCTCTCTCTTTCCCAGGCCTATCAACATTTTCAATGTCCAATTCTTTTTCAATTCCAGGTTTTTCTTTCCAAGGTGGCAATTACCCTTGGGATGAATCAGAGTCATGATAATAGGTAATGGGTATAAATCAATTCCAGTGATGCATTTCACTTGATTTTTACTGGGCAAATATTTATGGAGCAATATCATGAACTGAGCCCTGGAGAAAACTCAAACTTAACAAAATCTAGCCCCTGGAGGCTCTACCTAGCTAGCAGTTTTTTCTCAAAGGTAATGTTTTTGAGTAGTACCATGATGAGATTTTTTTAAAAAAAAATAATAGTGTATTTGTATTCACGTGCTCTAGCAATATAACAAGCACATCAAATATAGGATTTCATGTTTACTCCTATTTAGAAGGAAGCTAAAGAATATAGTGTGTAAAATAAGCAAGGCTATTTAAAGAAAAATAGTAATAACCCAGAAAGGGCAGAAATCTGTGCAGAAGATGAGCTCATGGTAATTTTTCAGGAGCAGGAACTCAGTAGGAGAGGAAAACTTATGTCCAAAGTCACATGCTCCTAATGGAGATATGAGGGGGAAGCTGCTTCTGCCTTGGGGGACATGGAAGGCTTCGTAGAGAAGGTGACACTGGATGTGGGCCTTGAGGGATGGTGTGTTCGTCAGCTTTTCAGAGCTGTGACCAAAATACCAGGCAAGAATAACTGGGAGGTGGAAGAGTTTATTTTGGCTCAGAGGTTCAGACCCTGGTGGGCTGACTTCTCTGCTCCTGAGGAGAGAGAGAACATGACGGTGGAAGAGCTGGCTGAGGAGGGCTGCCCTGTGCTCCTGGTGGTCACGAGGGATGTCCAGGCACCAGGAATAAAATGTAGACGGCAAAGGCATGTCCCCAGGGACCTGTGTCCTCTGGTCACATCCAACTTGCCTATCTTTACCACCCAGGACAGTAGTTCTTTCAGACTGTTAACAGACCAAATGGATCAATCGACCAACTAGGTTACAGCTCTCCTTCCACCTCCGATCACTCCTGCATTTTCTCACTCATGAGCTTTCAGGAGACAACTTACATCCATCTTATGGCTAGGGAATTTTCTACTGCGGTGAGAAGCACATGGGGTCTGGGGAGTAGAAAGAAGGTTCATGCTGAACAATGATAAGGAGGTAAGAATTAGGTTGTTTTTTTTTTTCTTTAGAGGACAATATATCAACAGGGCCTCTCCCCAGGGTAGGGGAAATAAATCATGGGGGAGATCAGTGGGGTCAGGAAATTGACTTGCTGGGATATGACTGGCACGTAGAACAGTTCCAGACCACAGTTAATGTTAGGGCGCGTCTCCCAGCCCAAGTGTAAGCAGCATCTTGTGAAACTTTGTTTTCTGAGGGTTGAGTCATGATGTGAAAGGGGTGGTAATACAAAAAAATAATCTGAAGCCTGTTGCTTTCTCACCATGAGACTTCCAGCCACCGTGGACCCTCATGGGAATCTACTTCTGATCACCTCTGGAGTTAGCACCTACAGAAGGCATCCACCGAGGCTCTATTCCATTCTTCCCTTTGGCCTGGGGTTAAGTAAGGAAGTGCTGGTAATCTTCAGAGATGGCAGACCTTTGTGGGGCATTTTGTAGATCAGGATGCAATTTTTTTTTTTTTTGGTAGTCAGCCTGGTGGTTTTTTGTATAGCTTTGTTGACATATAATTAATGTACAGTAAACGGCACCTGCTCAAAATGTACAATTTGATGAATTTGGACCTATGATCACACACCTGTGGAACTAGCACCAACATCAAGGTGATAAACGCACCCATTCCCTCTGAAGGTCAACAACACTTCCTTACCTGTGCCCCGTTTATGCGCACGGTAAGAACTCTGAGCATAAAATCCCCGAAACCTCTAGTGCACAATGCAGTATAGTTGACTCTAGGCATTGTACTGTACCATGGAGCAGATATTTGTGCAATGAATCTTGTGCAACTGACACTTCACAGAGATTCCTACAATATTAAAAAATAGAACTACCATATAATCCAGAAATTCTACCCTGGGTATCAACCCAAAAGAATCGAAGTCAGGATCTCAAAGAGATACCTGAATGACCCTGTTCATAGTTCCATTATTCACTATAGCCAAAATGTGGAAGTAACCCAGCCTGGGTCTTGATCCCTTGCTAATTGGATTAACCAGTACAGGGAACGAGGTTCCCCAAGCTACATTGCTTGTTGACTGGACTGGGTTTGGCAGGGTGCCTCTGAGGCCTGAGGCTCTTCTTTGCCCTCTCAGAAGGGTGACGGGATCTGAAGCTCTTGGTGTGAGGTATGTGTGGGCTAGTGCAGAGTCCAGGCTATGTGAGAGGATGTGGGATGATTCCATTTCACAGTGAAAGGATGGCCTGAAATTGGCACGTTTAAATCAACTGCAGAAAAATAGGCACCCGGCAGCTATTTTTAATTTGCGCTAGAACATACAAGAGCCAGCGTTGCTCATAGAGCAGAATATTGGCTTTGAGTATAGGAGACGAAGATATCCTCAGCTTTCCCACTCATTTATTTGCTGACAGACAGTGGGAAAGAGCCCTGAGGATGGACCAGGCAGTAGGACTGGCTAATGTATGAGCTGCTACATGTTCATTACCAGCATCTCCAGACTCACTTCACCTCTGAGGACCCCAAACTTGTTTCTCCACCCGCTTTGGGCTGGTTCCTTCATAGAGTACTCCTCCCTTCTTCAGGGCCTGCTCCCAGGAAAAGTTCTAGAAGTTTCTTTCTCAGTCTGGGGTAACAGATTGATAATTTACATTTACTTTTGCAGACACTTTTGTATTTCAGCAAGGCTGAGTACCTAAATGGACAGGAGTGCAGGTGCAGTTGAACATCTGGAACAGTCCGTGGGAAGATCATCAACTTGATGACCATTCTTGACACAGTTAAGCACCACACGTAGTGGCTGGTGATTCTACTCTCTTAGTCTGTCTTGTGTTACTATAACAAAATACCTGATACTGGGTAATGCAGAAAGAAAAGAGGTTTTTTTGGTTCATGATTCTAGTGGTTGGAAAACTCAAAAAAGCCAAAACCCCAAGGGCCTGGGAAAGCAAGTAACCGCAATGGAAAGGGGCAACCCCAAGAACTCAATAACCTCCAATGGGCCCCCACCTCTAAAAGTTTCACCTCCTAAAAATTTTATCACCCAATGTTGCCATATTGTGGACCAAGCTTCCAGCACATGAACCTCTGGCAGATAGCTCATATCCACACCGTAGCACCCACCTACATTGTAGGAAGTCAGGTTTGATTGACAGTGCTTAGAAATCGATTTTTAAACCTGGAAATGTCCGGGCATCATTTCCTTCTCTTAGAGATAAACTAAAACCCGGAAGCATGAATTCAGTTTAGTGCAGCTCAGCTGGGGTGTTTCTGAGCACCTACTGGACGCTAGATCCCAGCCCTGGCACCAGAGAGACAGGCAGGAGTTTGATACAGTGCTGGTCCACCTCCTTCCCTCCCAAGAAAAGGGGTGCGGGCACAGGTGTAGGCAGCTGGCGAGCCCTGGCAGGGCAGGGCTGGTGCCATGGTCAGGAGAGAGGGCGTAGGAAACCTCCCAGGAGGGGTTCCATCCATCCACTTGTTCCAAGAACAAGAACTTGGTCCATTTCTAATGTAGAAAGGGACAAGGCTCTGTGCTGCTGATGGTCAGTGGGATCTTAGATGAGTCACTTGTCATCTCTGGGCCTCCGTTTTCCCAGGGTGAAGGAAGGAGGATGACTCTGTCATTCCTCATTGCCACATCAGGGCCCATGTCCCCAGTCCTCCCTCCAGGGCCCATGATGGACAGTCCAATTCGTTCTGGCACTTCCCTTGCCCGGTGTGAGGCCTGCCTCTGTGTCCTTCTCAACACAGTCCTCACGACGACAGTCAATGGCGTGCACATGCAGGGTGAGCCTTGCCGGACCTATTTGATAAGACTGGAGGAGGTACAGCTCCCTCCTTTTCCAGCCACCAAGAGGCCACAGAATACCCCTAAGCAGTTGGAAAAGCGGCAACACAGCCATTTCAGATTAATTTGGGGCAGCAAGTCGAGAAGTGCCGAAGCTGCTCCCTAACAGCTCATCTGGATCCTCTCAAAAGCTTCCTGAAGCTCGGAGCTAGGCCGATGGTATGGAGTCTTACGTATTTGACAGGGAAGGGGAAGGATGTGACTTTTCAAAGGTCACCAGTACTTTTAGCCATCTTAAAAGAACATGGAAAGTATGCTCCCAAGCAAAGAGGAATTGGAAGTTTGTTTTCTAGGGGACCAGCATTGAGGGTCGAAACCCAAGAGATAGTGGATGTCTCAGAGGCCTTCAAGTCCACAGTCCTCCACGGCTGTCCCTCAGCTGTGTTCTCCCCGGAGCTGTCTATCCCACCCCTTTAGGCCTCAGGGAGAGGCTGGAGGGCAGAAAGGAGAGCCAGGGGTCGTGATTCCAGCACACACTAGCTGTGGGAAGCTGGGCAAGTTCACGCACCTCTCTGAGCCTCAGTTTGTTGATATATAAAATAATAGACTCTTTCCTACAGAATTATTGTGAGCATTATTGGAAAACTGCATGTAAAATACTTAGCACCTGGAACATAAGAAACTCAATAAAAGTTAAATATTAGCAGGAGGGCTGCCTAAGCCTGCATGAATTCTTTTAAAGTCAAAGCCATGTTACTGATGTTTTGGCACCGAACATAGCAGGAAAGACAGTGTCTTCTTAAAACCTCAGCTTATTGTGGTCTTTTGTTTTGTTTGATTTTCTTTTCTTTTCTTTTGTTCTTGTTACTTTTTGATGTGAGGGTGTTTTTTTTCTTTGTGGTTTTTGTTTTTACACAGGTGTTTTCGCAATGGTGTCAGTTCGTTTTCCATCACTGCAACAAAATAACCTGAGATAATCAACTTAAAAGGAGGAAAGATTTATTTACGCTCACAGTCTCTGAGGTTTCAGTTTATGGATGATTGGCCCATTGCTCTGGGTCTGTGATAGCAAACTACATCATGGTGGTGACCAGAGGAGGCCTGGTCATGTCATGGCAGCCAGAAAGCAAAGAGAGAGGAAAGAAGTGGCCAAAGTCTCAACAGCCAGCTTCAAGAGCACACCCACAATGACTTAGGACCCAGCTCTGTGTGTGTGTGCGTGCGTGCGTGCGTGCGTGCATGCGTGCGTGTGTGTGTGTGTGTGTGTGTAGGGGTGCTGGGATTGAACCCAGGGCCTCTAGCATGCTGTGCCAGCATTCTGACCTGGACTCAGCCCTGGCCCCAGTTCTTAAAGGTTCTAACACCTCCAAATAGTGCCATGGACTTGGGGCCAAGCCTTTAAATGTCCCCCAAGGGGGACATTTCAGAGCCTAACTCTAGCAATGATCTAAGTTCACTGAAATATCCCTGGAGTCTCCCTATGTTCTTCTTTATCAAGAATTGGCCATAGAATCCTCCAAATTTCAACCCAGAGCCCCCCCACCCCCACCCCATCCCGGGGCTTTTGAGAGCTAGTGTCTAATACTCTTAAGGACAATGGATAGATTTTTTTTTTCCCCAAAGCTGTAGAGACAGCCACTCAAGAAATAGATTTTCAAAGGGATACTTTATTCGATTAATTAGTCAATTCCCTTGTCGTGAAGGAGAAATTATCTGTAAACCACCCCGACAGAGGAGACTCTTACAGGGGAAGCAAAGAAATGTTGGGTTGTAACAATAGGAGAGCTCATTTGCAATGCGAATGAGCAACCAGCAGGCAAATGAACCCTTATGGGAAAACCACTCTAATCATAAAACCCGCTCGCTTTGGGGAGACTGCGGTGTGAGGACAAGCAGAATCATAGCTCTGTGAATCCCCGCTAATGTAGCATATTAGGGAATTATCCAGGTAGTTCTCTAGGAAATTGCCTTTGAATGAAACAAGATGCATTGCTTGGCAGTAGATAATATCTTTAAAAATCAACGCCACCATCGCAGGCTGAATTATTTATGATTGTCACTATAGCGCTGTGATTGTTTGGATATAAAATAGTCAGGCTTTTCCCTCTGTTTTTATTTGTAGGAAAACAAGTCATTCAAGCTTTTTAGTGATACAATGTGACTTGCTATCGATGGCAGTTACGAATTTTCAAGCCCTGCCAAGCACAGGAGTACCCAGAAGGCACATATGTTTTCTCTGCTTTGTGTTCCAAATTTGCCTTAAAAACATGCAATTATGTGAAGGCCTGATTTATATTTGCAAGGAAAAGCACCATAATGGCCCTGTTTTGTAGTCGTCGACGTTTCTCCAAAACGTATTTCTGTGGCTGCCTTTTCAAAAGAATTTGGCTAATGATCATTGGATTTTCCCTCTCCACCAGTGACATATGAAAATTTGATGAGGTCTGTGAGATTTAAGAACTGTTTTCTTCCGTGCCGTGGAAACTCAGTTAACATAGTTCGGGAGGCCGATGGAGCCTGGCATCTTCTATAGTTACCTTTCATCCATGGCTGTGTTTTTGTGGGCAGCGGGACAAGGGGAGGCAGGGAGCTTTGCTCTGTCTAGTCAAGAGGCAAAGATGAGCAGAAGACAGAGCACAACCAAGCCCTGCCTGGCCTGGAGGCTGCTGGGTGAGTCCCCTCAAGCCTGGGAAGTGGAGGTGCTGGGCAGGTGGTATCTGTTGGGGCCATCTCTGGGGAGTCGCAAAGGGAAAAAGGGAAGGCTTTTAAGTCGCATTTTATGCTTAGATGGAAATGACCGTGGAGCCCTTTATGAATTATATAATCACACTGGCTTTAATTTCTTGCCCTTCATTACTATTATTAATGATGGCTTTCACTCCATTCTCTTAGCTGCATTTCCAGGAAATCCATTGAGTGAAGAGTTGTTCATCTCTTTCTGGTTTGGGGAGCCCCCTCCTGGGAGATAGGGCAATTTTTTGGGGGGTGGTTATTGTTGTTGTTAATTGTTCTTCTTTCAGTGATGAAAATAAAGTGGAGAGGCCAATGTCACATCATGAGCTGGTTCATGAACAAGTAATTATTACAATAGAATATTACAGAAAATATTCACCTTCGAGAAACAGATATTTGAGAATGGTGGGAAAATAAAAGTTTGGGGGGAGGACAACATATACAGTGTGTTTTTGTTGGTTCGTTTTTCCAAGCAGGATCTCACTGTGTTGCCCGGCTGCCCTTGACCTCCTGGGCTCAAGGGATCCTCGTGCCTCAGCCTCCCTGGTAGCTAGGACTACAGGTGCATGCCACTGGCAGAATGATTGCTTGGTGCAAATCTGATCACTTGGGTAGTTTAGAAACAAATCAATCTTACGTTACTTATGTACGGATGAAGCATTCCTATTGTATATTCAGAATGTACAATGTTTGGAAAAGTACTCTGGGAAAGCTAAGATTATCGCATGCCTTTCCCATAACTTCCCAGTTTTAAGGAAAATAATTTTCAAATTCTTAAACAAAATTGTTTCACCTGCAAATTCACACCCAGGGCCCAGGAGGGGAAGTCACAGGTGTTCTCCCAGAGGCGCTCTTGTTAAATTTCAGCTACCAGCTGTATTCCCCTTTATGTGGTATGAGCCTAGTAAACTTGGATCTGCTTTTGTGGATCCTGGAGAAGGTTTGGTCAGAGAAAACTGGGAATTTGTTTAGGGGTAATGTCTTCTGTCTATTAATGGAAAGGGCCCCGTGGTTTGATGGAATCCTCTCTTGCCTGTGTTTAAGTACTGTCGAGCTCTTTCCTCCAGTCCACTTGTGACAGTTAGCTCCTGGGTTCAGGTCTTGCCAGAAGAATCCTAGCAGGGACATGTTCAGAATAGACTTCAGGTTGGCTCTTTCTCCAGTCTAGAACTGGGTTTCCGACTTTGTTCTGAGAAACTGATGGGACTCCATTTTTTAAATTTTTTAATTTTTTTACATTTGAATCAGATGGGATATAATTTCTTTTTTTCTGAGTGTACAGGTTGCAGAATTATATTGGTCATGCAGTCACAGATATACCCACAGCAATAATAATGTCTATTTTATTCTGCTGCCCTTCCATTCCCCCCTTCCCCTCCCCTCCCCTCCCATCACTTCTCTCCACCCAATCTAATGTGATCCACTTCTTTTTTCCCCCCTCACATCGTGTGACTCCATTTTTGAGAAACCAGCCTCTACCTCAGAGCAAAGCCTGTCCAAGGAAGGGGACGTGTCCCTTGTCCTTGGAAAAACCCACAGAGCACTCCTGCTGAGTTGTTTGTCTGTAAATAACAGGAGAGATCTGCTGTGCCAGGTGTCCCTGACTCAGTCAGGCTAGGTGGGAACCTGTAGCAACCCCCTAGCAACCACCAATCAGCATGAGATAGGGAAAATACCTGGGATGCCAGATGACCCTCCCAGTAGTTTATGGTGGTTGATAACATGTTGGGAAACCCTGTAGTTTAGCACATACACCCCTCGAGGCTTAAACCAATCAGTTTTAAAGGAATCCCTCTTTTGTACTAACCAATCACCCTTACCCAACTTGTTCCTGCCAGTGAACGTGCTAAAATCAATGTTAAGAGTTATTGTTTGACTTTCCCACGGTGTAAAATGATTTGCTGTGTGATGTTGTGACGCATAAAGTATCCCCAAAAACCTATAAAATCTCACTGAACAAAGGGTCACTCCCTGGGACCGCTGCGTCGGAAATGATTGAGTCCAGGCTCCAGCTTGCAATAAAGACTCTTGTGTGATTGCATCAGATTTGGCTCCTGGAGATCTCTTGGGGTCCCATGAATTTGGCATTACAGTTCCTCCATGAAAGCAAGTTCTAAAGCAATTGTGAGATCATCCAAGAGAGCATTTGAAAGGTGCTTCCATTCTACAAAATGGTGGATCTCCCTGTAGCTTGGGGCCAGTCTGAGTTTTACAGAAGAGGCTGTGCCACATTGGAGGCTGATACATAGGAATTTCAGAAGGTGATCCTATTGGGGGAAAAGCTAATTTCCTCCTTTCCTGTTTTAGGCCTCATGAGATAGTACAAGAATATTGTGTTTAACTTCAAAACCAGTAGTTTGGGGATTTTCATCGCTAAAAGTCAGATTCTTGAGATAGTAACTAAGAAACCATTGTGTGAAGATGTCCTCTATGATCTCTTATCAAGCAAAGGACAGGTGACTAAAAAGGAACACCAAGAGTAGCATCCAGCCACAGCTTCAGAAAATTCACCCCACAAAAAGAAGTGGCCCCTCAGTTCATCCAAGATACTCCTTGGTTCAGCTTCGGGAGTAGGGGTGGGATGGGCAGAGCAAGCTTTAACGCAAGGACCTGGACGAGAATTATGTCCCTAGAGTGTTTGGAAAAAGATGTGGCAAAATATGTTCAGTCTCCCATTTCTCCTTTTAGTCCAGTTCCTGATTTTTTCCCCTCCTCTTTTCTCTCCCAAGTCAACCCCTATCCCATCCTCTCTCACCTCCCACTCACTCTCCACCTCCTTCTTCTTTCCAGCCCAGTCCAGCCAACCATACCCCAGAGTTTGGGGGCCGAGAAATAAATCAAATTGGAGTAGAGACTTGAAATATGAAGGTTAAAATAATCTGTTACTTGGGTGGTCATTGGCTTTATAAAGAGAGAAATTCTGAGTTTCTAAAAAGTACATTTTATAGGCACTACTATGAGCACTGTGTGATTTTAATTTATTTTCTTTTTGTTTCCATGAGATTGAACATCAGTTGACCCTCGAAGAGCTACAAAACTTAAATGCACTCTTTCAGGTAGGAATTGACAAGGTAAACTTTTAAAATATTCCTGGAGGTAATCTGACTCCCTTTTCGACAGCTGATTTTTTTTTCAGTTACAAAGTACAATCCTTTTAAATAAAATAGCAGTGAAAGAATAAATTTTTTTTGATTGTCACTTCTTAATGGAATTAGAAACAAATTGTGAGTGCGTCAGAGAAATGAACAAAAGAGAGAACCTGATACAAGTTGACAGGGTTTAGGGAAGTCCAATTAGACATTCAATTCTTTGGACTCCTTCTCCTAGACTAAACAAAATACAATGACTGTGTGTTCATAGTTAATTCTTTTTCCCCCCTTAGGAGCATGCAAAGAAAGGAAGACAACTGCTCGATATGGAAACTTTCAAATGCATAATGAAGCAGAGTATGAGGTCACCAAAGAAAGTAAGTGGGTTTTGTGAATGTTGGGTCGTTGAAGCCACAGTCAAAGCTTTAACCATGTGAACCAATTAGGTTTGATGATCAATCTATAAGATCACTTCCTCTCTAAGCTATGATTTCAACTAAGACCTATGTGATTTACTGAACAATTTATATGGAAAGATATTTTCAAAGTACTTAGCATACAAGACCAACAAGACATTTAGAGACTGTTCTTAAAGAGGAGAAAAGACGATTATTCCATGACCGGTTATTTGTACACATGTTTTTGTTCCAAAGTCTGGGCAGGTCCCCTATCCCCTAGCCAGCTAGAATTAAATATTTTAAACACTCTCTCTACCATCTTGGTTAGCCCAGAATATGAAATCTTAATAAGTAAGGTGTTTCTCATAAGATAAAAAATACATATTATAAAGGTACAAGCTACTTAAGTTCTATTTGTCAGAGCTTCACGATTATGTCTTAAAATAAAAAAAAAAAAATTTGTTTAAGATGAAGCTCTACTCTATAAACCTGTCCCTGGAGTTTGAACAAAAATACACCCTTGTCATGTAGGACCGATGAAGTCATAGGCTGCCCCTTCCACGGGCAAGGTGCCAGGATCTGATGGCCATCGTACAAGTTCAGATGTGCTCAGCATCACACCTGCTACGGGAAGGGAATGTGAAGTCCCATCTGTTTTTGAAAACTCTGCTTCCTTAGTCGACTTGGGCTCCCATCGTAGATACCTTGGGCTGTGTGGCTTATGACCACAGACACCTCTCACAGTTCTGGGGGCTGGAAGTCCAGGATGGCGGCACACTTATTGTACAGTGAGGGCCCACTTCTTGGTCCACAGAGAGAACCTGGCTGTGTCCCCACATGGTAGAAGGGGTCAGGGGTCTCTCTGGGGCCTCTCTCGTGATGCCTCTGGCTGCACGACTGAATCACCTCCCAAAGGTCGCCTCCTAATGACCTTGGGGGTTAGGATTTCAACATATGAATATTTTTGGCAAAGGAGCCTTCAGGTGGTAGAACCTCCCTCTGTGCAATGCTAAAACCAAAATTTCCATTGGAAAGGGAGAGGAATGTTTTAAATAGACAAATTATCAGGTGTTTTAACAACATCCCAGATAGACCTTTTAAACCAAAGCAGTCTCACGACCTATAATTTTAGAACCCGTGCCTACCTAATTATCTACTTACTCCCCCATTCGTTCATTCGCTCCTTATATAAATGTCCACGGGGGCAGGCTTCCTCTCAGCCCCTGTGACGCGGAGCCCATCAGGACCATGGTCTCTGGCCCCGGGGAGGGCAGATCTGCTGCAGAATGGAACGCAGGTGGTCTGGGAGCGTGCAACCAGACAAGGGAGTCACCAGGGCCCCTGGCCTTCTTGCATGACCCTGTGCTGGGCTCTAAGGGGTGAAGTGAATCACTCCATAAAAGAGGGAGAGGGAGGGAGGTGAGGGCTTCCAGGCAGAGGCAACAGCATTTGCAGAAACCCAGAGAAAAGCACCTCCATGATACCTCCACCAATCACCCTGATGAGGGACCAAGACACACATCCCTTTACCTGGGACCACTTGTACTAAGCAAGATTTTACTCAGTACATCACCGCGGAGGCATGAAACCATTTTTTTAAATCACTTATTTAACAGTTATTGATTTCTGTCTGCTCACACTGCCTTAGGATCTTCATGTGTTTTATTCCATAAGCCTCCCAGATTGCAGAATAGACCTGTTTAGAAGACATTCCTATTTGAAAGCTGAAAAGACAAGAGTTTTAGAGAATCTGAGTAACTTATCTGAAATTCCTTGGCAACCAAGGAATAGATTCGGGATTTGATCTCCAGTGTGACACTCGAGATCATTATGATAGGATTAGGTTTGACTGTAGTGACAGAAAACCCTCAGCCACTAAATCATGAGAGAGAAGTATTTTCCTCTATCATGTAGAAAGTCAGGATTCAGGTGTCTTCATGAAATTTGGGGGAGCCAAACTCTTCCTCCTCCTCCTTTATCCTATTACCCTTAGTATGTAGTTCATCCTCATGGCCCAAGATGGCTGCTCAGACTCCGGTCAACATGTTCTCCTTCCAGCCAGCAGGAAGAGGGACAACTCCCCAAAGCTGTCCACGACACTCGCATTTTTCACATGTTAATCAGATATGAATCACGTGTCATATCTAACTGAAGAGGAGGCAGGAAAGTGTGGTCTGTTCTAGGAAATGATGGCCAAGCTAAAACTCAGAGTGCTCTACTATAAGGAAGAATGCTAAGGGGGACAACTAACACCCCGTCTTTTCCACTCTTCGGGAATCTCATATTCTAGGACCTGTTAAAAGGCAGGATGCATCTCCTTTGCTCTTTCTATGAAATGCTGACTTAGTAAAAATTCAGTACAAACGGGGACATCAAAGGCTATGCTCAGGAAGAGCATGCCTGGCATCAGTATTTCAGACTTTGGTGGCACCTGGAGGTATGGAGTTCTCAGCCTGGGGTCATACCAAGCCCTATGACTCTCCTGGGAAGCCAAGAAGATGTCCTCACTTTCCTGAAATACTCTGATGCTCCTCCTTAAAAGCAAATAGAGGCTGCAGCTATCTGTAGCCCTGAATTTATCACATGGCCCTCTAAGTGGATGTACTTGTCTTGGCCTCCCTAGACAATAAGTGCCATGAAAATACACCCGCCGCAGTGCTCGGCATACCCTGGGCGCTCAATCTTTTCCTTCAGGGAGTCAACTCATGTGTGGAGGCAGTGTCCAGCGTCCCCTGGTGACCACACGATCATGCCTGTTTGTGCAGGAACATGCGCTGCTCCCAGCTCTGGGCTAGGTGGAGAAGCTGGGTCTCTGGGCAAAGCCGGAGTTCAGCAGGGCCAGGGAGAGCCCACCTGATGGCCCCTGTCCTCTGACAGGCTCATGATACTGCATGGTCCTTGCTGCTGTCGCCTGGTCCAGAGCTCCAGGGTGCGCAGGCATACCCACAGGCCTCCCTGGTTCATGGCCACAGGGTGGTCCGGGTGGGCAGCCTGAGGGCAGTCTGTGATGATCTCTCCCCGAGCTTTTCTGTGTTCGTTCCATTTCTGATCCCAGGCTCCCCTTGGAGCCACACCTCTGGGAGTTTGGGGTTATTTGGACATTCATTCAAAACCATCTGAAGCCAGAGGTGGTGGTGCATACACACTTGTAATCCCAGGGGCTCAGGAGACGGAGGCAGGAGGAACGTGAGTTCAAAGCCAGCCTCAGCAACTTAGGGAGACCCTGAGCAACACTGTCTCTAAATAAAATACAAAACAGGGCTGGGGATGTGGTTCAGGGTGGCCGAGTGACCCTGAGTTCAATCCCTGGTACCACCCCCAATATATATATATATATACATACATATAGATGTGTGTGTTAAATATTGTGTTCACAGCACTGCCTGAAGCCTGGCATGTCAACCTGGGAGTGTGGTGTCTCCACTGAAAACTCACTTAGAGGAAACTGATACTGAGCTCGGTCCCATATCCAGGGTATTTTTCTTCATGGCCCTGTCCCTGGTACAGGTGTTGGCTCTCTAGGAGGTAACGCCTGATCTCTTAGAGACCAGGCCTCCTCATTTCTCCATTTCACTGTTATTTCTGCTCAAACGCCAATGCTCCCACCCCTTATAAGACACTCCCCAGCACAGACATATGATCTAGCTCTGTTAAAGCTACTTTCTGGATACACCATAAAATTATAGAACCCTGAGCTTCGGAAGGACCTTAGTTCCTTAATATATAATTTAATGCGTGTAAGTATTCTTAATATACAACTATCCTAATTCTCAAATTCTCTTCTCTATTAAGCCACGAGCCAGAATATTACCTTCAACCAGGGAGAACTCAGCACCGTGTAAGGCAGCCCACTTCAAGGCTGGAAAGCTCTAGGTTTACTTCTTCTCCATATGAGCTAAAAGGAGTTGTCACTGACATTCTACTCATTAGCTGAATGGATGTACTTTTAGCCGCTGTATCAGTTATACATGGCTCCACCATAAAGTGTCAAAAACTTAGTACCTATGTTTTATTATCCCACAGTTTTTATAACTTAAGAATTCAAGCCTTCCCTGGATCCTGGAAGTATCTCATGGGGCTGGTGGGTCTCACTGAAAAGCTGACTGAGGAAGGATCTGCTTCCAAGCTCATGAGATTGTCCCAGGTTGCTGGGCTCAGGAGCCCAGGGATCAGCTCTTTGATAGCTGTTGGCCAGGGGCTGCCCTGAGCTCCTGGCCACCTGGGCCTCTCCAAATGGCAGCTAGAATCTGGCAGCTGGCTTTATCACAACCAGCAAGGGAGAGAGTCTTCTAGCAAGGCAGAAGTGACAGCCCCTTGACACCAAGGCGTTCTACTGGCTATAAGCAAGTTACTCCGGATGAGAAGTGAGCCGAGCCATGAGTACCAGGAGGCACGGATGACTCGGGCATCTATTGCTTGCCTGCTATAGCCACACAGAAGAACTCTATTCTCTCTCACGGAGAATGATCCTTTTAATTGAAAATACTTCTCAGAATTTGCTCATCGTTTTGATGGCGTCCTCACCATCCTTGACCTCTGGGTTCACTTTGGTGTTTATCTCAAAGTGGGCCCTCATCACAGTCCATTGGCTGACGTGGACGGGGCAGAGTGGGACCTCCTGGATGCCCTGGCACTGCAAGCCATTCAGTTCCTCCTGAGCTGCTTAGGGCTCAATATCAAAAATAAAATTCTTAGGAGCCCAAGTCTCTCTCTGGGCAAGAGGTTGGTGTCAGCGGCTGAGTTCTGATGAATGGTCCTATCCAGAGATCCTTGAGCATTCAACTTTTTGAATATGAGATTCATAAATTGAAAAAACCTAGATGCCCTTCAATAGATGAATGGATTAAAAACCTGTGGCATTTATACACAATGGAGTATTACGAAGCACTAAAAAACGACAAAATCATGGATTTTGCAGGGAAATGGATGGCATTAGAGCAGATAATGCTAAGTGAAGCTAGCCAATCCTTAAAAAACAAATGCCAAATGTCTTCTTTGATATAAAGAGAGCAACTAAGATCAGAACAGGGAAGAAGAGCATGAGGAAAAGATTAACATTAAACAGAGACGAGTGGGGTGGGAGAAAGGGAGAGAGAAGGGAAACTGTATGGAAATGGAAGGAGACTCTCATTGTTACACAAAATTACATATAAGAGTTTGTGAGGGGAAAGGGGGAATTAACAAGGAGAGAAATGAATTACAGTAGATGGGGTAGAGAGAGAAGATGGGAGGGGAGGGGAGGGGGGATAGTAGGGGATAGGAAAGGTAGCAGAATACAACAGTCACTAATAGGGCATTATGTAAAAATGTGGATGTGTAACCGATGTGATTCTGCAATCTGTATTTGGGGTAAAAATGGGAGTTCATAACCCACTTGAATTAAATGTATGGAAGATGATATGTCATGAGCTTTGTAATGTTTTGAACAACCAATAAAAAAAAAGAAAAAAGAAAAAAGCAAAGATCTTCTTCTTCATTCTTCTTCACCCCTTTCCCCCACAATTGTGTGAAGTTTATAAACTTATTTTTCTTTTCCTCTCTAGAGTACTGAACAAATAGAACGACTTTTCATGAAAATAGACTACGACGCAGTGGGCAGGATTCAGTGGGTAAGTCGGGTTATGTTTTGTGGATCTGATTTAAAGTTAGCAGAGAAGGGGCCTAACATTCAGTCCTGAGTTTGGTCCTTTCTGAGGTGCTGTTTGCCCCTCAATATCTTTGCTAGCTGGAAGTTGAACCCAGGAGACATGCTGGCTCCTAATTTTCAAATCCTAATGATGTCCGGCTGTACTTGCAGTAGTTTAGGTAGGAGTTTCAGTAGCTGAGGCAGGTTCCACGAAGGGTATCCCAGAACCAAGGTTGGAAGGACACGTCTACCACTTTACTCAAAAGCCAATGGAAAAACACCAGTAAGAAATCCTCTGAGTAGCTACAGCTGCTAATCAAGTCGGGGAACACACGTAGTATTTAGAAGTGAGACTGTCACAGAATAAATTCCCCCAAAATATCACCATCATCATTTTTCTGACCCACTTGGTAGTGTGAGGAGCTGAGGCATTTACTGTTAGTATTCATGGCTGTTGTGTCTGTCAGTGTCCTTCCGTTGTTCTGGGACCAATGAAGCTCAAAAAGGACAAATTCAGCAGTAAATCACCTCTACTCAGGCCTTTGGCCAGTTCCTCAGCCAAATCAAATACAAGTGTTCACCTGATTTAAAAAGGAACATTCAGGATTTCTGGGACAGAAAGGGGAAGCTTCCGGGGACAGAAACTGATTTGCCAAGTTCAAAGACGCGCCCACCTTCTCCCCTCTTTGAGCACAGGGTTCTTTCCCATACGTACACTGCTGAGATTCTAAATGAGGCACAGGTCCTGGTGTAAAGAGAGTTTTGGAGTCAAATCAATGAGACCTCAAGCCTCTGAGCAGCACTTGCTAGTTGTTTGATCTTAGGAAAGTCATTTAAAATCTCTAAACTCGAGGGCTGGGGTTGTGGCTCGGTGTTAGAGAGCTCACCTAGCAAGGCCCTAGGTTCGATCCTCAGCACCACATAAAAATAAATAAATAAAATCTCTAAACTTGAGTTTTCAAAATTTGTAAATGGGGTGAACAGCAGACCTTACCTCCTACAGTTTTGGTGAGAATTGAGATGAAGAACCATGTTGCACAGAACATGGTACACTCCTAACAACAATCCTCCTCCTCCTCTTCCTCCTCCTCCTCCTTCTCACCTTTAAAGAAAAATGTGAGTGAAGGAAGGAAGCCCAGAGTGTGGCCGGCCCCACTGAAGGGCACACCACTTCTTTCCTACCAGGGTTTGAGAACCAAGTTCATGTGCTGACTATTATGCCATGTCCAAGAAATGAGTTATCCATTCCCTAATGGCAAAGAGAATTTTAGAAAAGCCAGAAAGGCGGTGGGTATATAATGAACTGCTCTTTATTCTCCAGGATGGCTTCTGCACATATCTGCAGCTAGAATATTTGGAGCAAGCCAGGGCTTTGGCGCGACAGAAAGAGGTTTCCTTCCTGCTGCCTGCTGTGCTGCAGAAGCTGTCATACGGGGGGCCCGTGCTGCGCATTCTCTCTGTGCCTGATGACACCTTAATCATGATCAGAGAAGATGGAGCTATTTATTTCTGGTCTCCGCAGCTGAAGTTGAAAAGAAAAAAGCAGATTTTTGTATGTGATTTTCATTTGATAAGGATGCTGAGTGCTACAGTTTGATTTTATTTGCTATTTTAAACTGCTCCTTAAGTGGCATGATTACATAAATTGTGCCCTTGAATATAATATATTCATGTTGGATTTTGCTGGTCTATGGAATGCAAATAAAATATGAGCTCTGCATGTAGTACAAGATAATGCTTCATTTTGCTTCTAACATCAAATGGAGTGATGAATTACATGTGGCTCTATCGTGCAATTTATCATATGTCTTAATGAATGACAAATGGAGCAGAATCTTCCTTATTTTCCTTCTTTGTGGTTCCATCAGTTTAGGTGGTTGTGCTAGGATTTCTCATCAGAGAACCTATTGTATGATAGAATGAGAAATTCAGAAGGCATAAATCATTCGGGAACTACATTTGGGAATAACAATGTCTGGCCCACTTTAGGATATATTTTTCTCTTGGAAGTCATTCTTTTATCATCTCATTCAACAAATAGCTGAGCCTCTGTTGTGACTCAGCTCTGGGCTGGGTGCTGGGGATGCAGAACACAGTGTCTGCCCTCAGTTAACTTACAATCTGCACTAGCAGTTATAGCTAAATCTTTCAGGGTGCAGAACAAGCCATGTACCTGAAGAAAGAATGAAGTTAGTTCTTCAAGACTATGTAACAAGTTCTTTATCCTTGAAGGAGAAAATCAACTTAAATAAAACTCTACAACATGAAGCATCCTTGTTACGAACAATGATGGCTTGAAATAACTGAAATTGTTCACTTCCACCCTTCAACCCTCTAGGGCAAGTCCCGAAGTCGGAAGCCCAGGTGGGCGACAGACGTCATCAGCATGCCACAGTACAACAAATTGATCGTTGGGACTGGGTGAGTGAGGGAAATCTACTGGAAGAGGGTGATCACAGTGTTGGATCTGTTTCCCCTTAGTGCGCACACACACGTTTGTGGTATGAGAATCAAGTCATGAAACTCATGGAAAAAAAAAATACTAGACCTCGCATATTAGTCCAAGGTACTACACAAAGTCATCACTGGGACCTCCTGCAGTGATGTTGTCCGTTGGGAAGGGAGAGCCTTCTAGTTTTGACCCCAAGTCACCATCAGGGAAATGAGGGCAGAGTCTGAGCCCCTCTCCATGTGCCTCAAGTTGGGCCATGGCAAAAGGCGAGCAGCTTGTTGGAAGGAAATTTGGAAGATCTGAATCAAGTTTGAAGCAAAAGCAATTTTGACACCCTGGGAGCATGAGCTGTGATCCGGGTGGATAGGAACAGGCTGAGAAAATGAGGCAGATTAAACTCTGGGCTCCTGGGGGCGTGGCTACAGAAGGGGGCGGAGCTTGAAGAAGTTCTCCCAGTCCCTAGACCCCCCTACTCCTGGGTGTTTTCTCCTCTCCACCTGGTCGCTCCTAGAAATCTCATCAGAGAACCAATTGTATTATAGAATACTCTAGGTATTAACTACTTCAATGAAACATCTGCTATTCTGACCTCAGAACATACATATATTTTTATTAAATATTATTTATTTCTTGTTAAGTTTAATATCATTTATTAACATTTTTTATTAAATATTATTTATTGTTAAGTTCAATGATATATTATTTTGATAATTAAGATATGTTCATTAACATCAACATAATTAATATAATTAACATTAACTATTTAAAAGCACCAAATTTGGTTCATCTCAGTTTGATTTTTAAAATTTTTAAATTGTTTTTACTTTTTATTAAGACAACATTTATATGTCTTTATGGGTTACATTATCATAATTTGATACATGTATGCAATGTGCAATGATCACGTTAGGGTAATCATTTACCCCGATTCATAAAATGTTGATCATTTTTATTGCTGGGAATTTTGTGTTTCTCTTTTCCAGTCATAGTGAAATACATCATTACATTGTTTGAACTAGTAGTTACTCAAGTACCTTACAGAAAAGCAGAACTAATTCCTCCTGAGCTTTGGTGCCTTTCCTGGTCTCTCATGACCATTCTTCTACTGTATGCTATGAGATTGCTTCTGTAGTCTCCACAAGTGAGTGAGAACACATGGGTCTATCTTTCTGTTTGGCTTATTTCACTTAACACAATGGCCTCCCCGGTTGAGCATTTAAAGTGTGCTCAGCCATCTTTTCCTGTGTGCTACACACTGGGGTTCAGAGGTGTCACAGTAGCTTATGTGAGGTTCTGAGCCGACAGGAAGACGAGGCAAAGCTCACCCTCCCGGAGGCAGGGAACCACTTGAACTGCAGCACAGGTGGAAAGGAAATGGGGGAAAAAAGACGTTTTACACCAAGGAGGCAAAAGCAAAAGGCGTGGGATTGAAAGTGACCCCTGGGTGTCCTATGGGAACAAATCAGAGCAGGAAGTTGCTTTTCACACACCCACAAAATTGTTCCTGTCTCCATCAGCTCCAAGGTAGACCACGTAACATAGGAGAGAGCGGGTCAAGGGTGCGGGTTTGGAAGAGGGGAAAGGAGGGAAGCACCAAATTCACTGTTTCGTGCAGAGAAAGAAGCCTCCGACCCTCTGCTTTGCGAGTCGGATGACATTTACATTGTCCACATCCAATATTCGCTCACATTTTATGACTTGGCAGGTGCCGGGGTTGGACCTATCACTCTTTCACGGTCTTCTCATTGAACCTTCCTCACTCTTCTCTAAGGCAGGAACTGCGATGGTCCCATTTTACAGACGAGGGAACTGAGCCGTGGGCTGGGATTGGAATCCCCCACTGGCACCCAGAGCCCGGGTTGTTGACAAGCCAGCCCCAGAAGGGGAAGGACTGGCTCTGTGGCAGGTTTAGAGCCAAGCTGAAGAGCTGTCCCCCATTCAGGAGCTGAGAGGGAGGCCCCAAGCTCAGCTAGAGGGTGGCCCCACAGGGTGGCTTCTTCCTGGTCAGGTAGGTGCCGCTGCTTTGTAAGCTCTGAGGAACCTAAACTATTCCTACAGAGGTGAAGCAAAAGCTGAAAGTTTGCTCCAACTGTCTTGATTTTTAAACAGACGCTGTGAACTGCAGCTGTACGAACTTGCTAACCTGGAGCCTTACTGTCAGATCGGCAGCCTGGAAGCCATACCTCTGAAACTGGACTACTGGTAAGAAGGGGCACCCCAGGGAGGCTGGCTGGCACCCAGGCAGTGGAACCCGCCCTCCTGTCTCCTGAGGCCCACATGCTTAAATCTTTACATGCTAGGGTTCCATCAACACACACACAACCATGGCACACCCACAGAGGGACCTTCTTGCATCTAGCAAGGCGAGGGAAGCCAGGAGGTGAAATTACTTTTAGAGTCATGCAATTATTTATTACTCTGTGTGTTTTAATTGTGGCCAGATTAATGTTGCTGAAACTCAACTCTGATCATATTACTTATTATTTACCAACTTCCTGTTCAGTAATATCCTCAGCCTTTGAAGGAGTCTATTTTCTGTTGCTGTAACAGAATGCCCAAGAGGGGGTAATTTATAAACAAAAGAAATGTATTTAGGCTTAAAATTAGTGGGACTGGAGAGTCCAAAATCCTAGCAACTAGCATCTGCTCAGCTTCTGGTAAGGGCCTTGTGCTGCTTCAAGTTATGGCAGAAAGAAGAAGGGAAGCGCTAACATTCAGAAGAGATGAAATTAGAAGCAAACTGGTTTATAACAACTGGCTTTCGGGGGAAATAAACCAGTCTCCTGGGAGAAAGGCTTTAATCTATTCTCAAGGGCTCCGCCCCTAAGACCTAAACACCTCCCGCTAGGCCCCACCTCCCAATACTGCCACATTCGGAAGAAGACTTGACGAGAGTTTTGGTGGAAACAAACCATATTTGAACCATAGCAGATGGCATCTGAGTCCCCTCTTTCGTCCCAGCCTCCTGCACCCTCGAGCCACAGAAACACCTACCTACTTGAATAGAGTGTCTGCCACACGTCAGGCACTGTCACCTCCACACTGTTCCTGATGCTGTCCCTTCTTCCAACCTTCTTTCCGATGTTTGTGGAGTCCCCGCTATGGAACCACATGCTGGATATGAAGCATGCAGGTAGCTCCTGCTGATTCCCACCATTTTTTGGAGTGTAAGCGTCCTTTCTCTAAAGATTCTCCTGAATCTCCTTCCTGCCCAGAAGCAACCCCCCACCCAGGAGGTTCCCCAGCCTTCAGCTGACCCACACCTGGCCACTGGTGGGCAGGTCCTACACCTTAGGCTTGCTGACTACTCCCTGGCACCTACACCCTGACTGACACATAGTAGGTGCTCAAGAAACATTTGTGGAATGACCAAGTTGGAAACCTCGTCTTGAAGAGGGGAAGGGAGAGTCCTTTTTCTTTTTGCCTTTTCCTTCTCCTGTCTTCTTTTTTTGTCTCTTTGTTATAAAATAGAGCCTCTTTAGCCACCCAGCTATTTCAGTAAAATAGATCTCTCATTCATCGCTCTCCTACTCATCATTTTATATATTGAGAAATACAGAGAAAAATTAATAGATTTAGAAGAAAATGGTTGAAAAGCAAAACTGTCAGGTTCTCATAGAACAAAAAGCATGGGCGAGATCACCTGGACCCCCTGCCCTGCGGCACCCTGCCAGCCCCTGCACTTCTCTTGCAAGGCAGAGGCAGCCTCCTCTTGCCTTCCCAACTCCTGCCCCCAGGGCCTGTCTGTCCAGTCCATCGGAGGCTCTGACTGCTCTGTGCCTGCACTCCACAACAAGGGCTGCAGGGGGCGCTACAGTGCTCGCCGCACCAATGGGGCCCAGGTTCCCGCTCTGGGGGAGGCAGGATGGGGTGGTGGCGGCTCTGGAGCCTGAGAAATATGGCTCACATCTCAACCCCTTTACTCATCTCCGGGGACCTGGACATGTCACATCTTCTTCATCTTCGACTCAGAAGTCTCATCTGCAAACCACAAGTAATAAGACCTGCTTCCCTGCACAGTGGTGACGGTGAACCACGTGGTGTAGATCAAGCCCCTAACACAGCATGCAACAGCAAGCACCCCACACATGGAACTCCCCTTCTCATCTCCTCCCCATGCTCTGTGGCCCTTGACGCTTCTGTTCCCTCTCTTTGCCCTTAAAGTCCCCGAGACTCCTCCCTGCCCAGTCTCTCCCTGGCTTGAAGCCACTCTGGCTTTGTTCAGCTCTTCAGATCCATCAGCTCCTTCCTGTCTCAGGGCCTTTGCACACACTGTTTCTGCTGCCTGAAAAACCATGGTCTGATCTCAGTTTAAATCTCACCTTCTCTGACGCTCCTGTCCTAAGCTCCTAAGCATTAATGGTGTCCCCTCCAACCCTGTCCTTTTCTTTGTTGCACATATTATAGCCCAAGTATAAGGTTCTTTGTCTATTAGCTGGGAGGACAGGAGTAACCAACTTTGTTCCCCACCCTACCCAGTAATTAATTTGATATTTTTTTTAAATGAAAAATCAAAAGCTTAGACTAGTCTATAAAACTGGTAAAATAAAGAGTACCCACATCCCTGGTTGGTGGGAGGATTTCCTGAGATAATATTTCTCCGTTATAGTGACGGGAGAACACTCCAATTTGATAAGTTCTAGGGAGACTATGGTCCCAGGAGGTCATGAGGACCCTGTTTTGGGCTGAAAAGTGTGTGTGTGTGTGTGTGTGTGTGTGTGTGTGTGTGTGTGTGTGCGCGCGCGCGCGCTCTCATGTGCATGCCCTTTGCCCAGACTGAAGATTCAGAGGCTAAACACATGCACACTTAGCCTTGAGGAGACCAGTTTGGTGGGTGTCTTAGTCCACTCTGATGGAGTGGTTTAACCTATAGAAGTGTCTGCTTATAGCTCTGGAGGTGGAAGCCCAAGGTCAAGGTGGCCACCAATTCTTTCTCTGGTGAGACTTCTCTTCCTGGTTTGCAGATGGCTGCCGCCTCTTCACTGTGTGCTCATGGGGTCTTTCCTTGGTGTGTGCATGCAGAGAGAATGAGTGAGCTCTCTGGAGTCTTATAAGAACGCTAGTCCTATCACGAGGGCCTCACTCTCCCAACCTCTTCTAACCGCTAAGCCCTGTCTCCAGATACCATCAGCATGGGGTGAGGGCCTCAGTGCATGAGGGCTGGGGGCTGCACACAAGCAGCTCTACTAACACACTTCCTGTCTGGCTGAGGACTTCCTCTGGGATAGAGCCAATGGCACTGTCTGATGAGTCAGCCAATGGAACTGCCTGTGGATGACGTCATCCCTAGACCCCCCTCCTCCAGGGCCAGTGTCCTGTTGGAGG